CCGTCCGGGATAGTAAATTGGCAACAAATTTGTCTGGTAGGATAAAAGCGTTGATTTTTGTCGGCTGTCTTCCACAAGTTATTGTAGAGACCATATAGTTCTCAAATAGCCAGCACGATTCTGGAGGCACCGTTCAGACTTCGCGCGTCACAGCGCCTTGATGCGCAGCGACGCGCAACGTCGCGAAGTTTGAACACTGCCGAGGGAAAGCGGGATGAGTTCCGTGTACCATAGACTGACCAACGACGAGAATTTATTTTTTCTCAGAATTTTTTAAGTACTTGGTTTTGAGGGATAGTTCGGAACGGTAATATTTGCAGGTGTTATCAATAAGTGCATGGATCTTGAACCTGGAGTTGTCAGAGGATGTTGCTGCGATTGGGATGCTTGCATTAATCCAACCGTGGCTCCTGAAAGGGTGAGCAGATCCCGCCCATTTAGTCGAGTTTCCCAGCCAATCTAGCTTATCACCACAATTTTCGTGTCTTCAGGTTCCCGACAAGCCACTTATGTGCTATGTTGGAATGCTTGCTCCCAAAGCCGGGATCAACGTTGGAGCTGAGGTAAGTGAACGGCTCGTTTGGGGAAGTGACCAGTACTATCGGATACGGGACGCTTTCAGGTGGCTTGCACTGGACGATGCGCCTCGTTAAGCGGAGTTGTGAATGGCGACAACGTCGTCACCTTCCATTGTGTCCCACGTCAAGTATGCAAGTGAGCAAGATTTTCCATTTGGGACCCTCTACTACCAGAGAAGCGGGTAAAATACACAGTCCTACATAACTTTCTTAGGACTTTCGTGAACGCCAACGCCTGCGCCACACTACAAGGAGATAGAGAGATCACTGGATGCTGTTGTAATGACAGAGACAGCTGCAACATCTATCAGCAGAACGTTACCGGAGTACGTTTCGCAATCGATATCAATCGATACAACTTGGTAAACACTTTTGCAGATCGTCATCCCTACCCCTAGCCCAGCAGTGGAGTTCCCTATCTCGTGCTGGTCAGGAATCTACGTAAATGGAGCTCCGATGACCAGCGTCGGGTAAGTCAAGATAAAAGTACTCTGGGGGACGAGTTCACGTCATGTCCGCTTGTCTGCATCCTCTCACAGACCAGAAATTCAGGGTACACATCCGTCCTAAAGGTTCAGAAGTACGTGGAAGTTTAGGAAAACAGGGTGTATACAGTGCCCTCGAGAATCGCGCGTGAAATAATGTGCCTTGTCGTGAACGCACACAATTGGACGCACCATAAGACTAGAACACGTTCAGGTAGAACAGGTGGGATACAGTAGCGTGGGAGGCGCATAGGCAGTAGCACTTTCAAACTGAGCGGTGCCCGGGTGCCGGTGGGCAGCGGCATTAGCGTCGCAACCTCACCCCGGAGCCCTCAGCCTGACACATTTAATTTCACGCGCACTTTGCAGGGGTACTGTATGCAGCCCTTTTTTCTGAACATATAATCTTGTTGGAAAGACAAGGCAGACAAGACATGAAGTGGCTAGTCGTGCTACTAGTTGGCAAATCCGAACTACTCA